ATGGTGTTCAAGTGGTGCTCCAGATGTTTTGGAATTGTACCCAAGGCACTTATTACTATTGGTATTTGCTTTCTTTTGCCACAGTTGTTCTACTTCTATTTGCAGGTTTTTATATTTTGTGATTTTCTCCAGTTTCTCCAGTTCTTTCTCTTCTATTCTGCTGTTTCCAGGTATTGCAATGTCCACTATCCAGACTTTTTTGCCTTTCTTATCAATAATTGTTAAGTCTGAGGTGTTATGTTGAAGGTGCTTGTCTGTTTGAATATTATTATTTTTATTATTATTATTTCCAAGTATAATCAAAACAGTGATCAATTTTATTATAAAGATTTTTTTTAACATTTGATAGCATGGGATTTGGAGCAAATATAGAACCAAACACATAACCTATTCAGACATCTGAAGTCTTCAGTGGTGGAAACCAATCTTCTGTACAATCTTCCACTGGCATTGCAGGAATGTAGAAAAACGTCTTATCATCAGATACTGTTGGGAAAGGTATCTGTTGACTGGGCATGAAGATACCTCTCAAAGTGGCTTAGCTTCCTACAGGGCATTTATTACCCTGCAATGAAAAGATAATTAATCTAGGGAGACATTATTATTTAGATGTGATTTTTTTATAAAACTAAAACTGGTTCCAATTGTTTAGGAATTGAAATAAAGTAATTTTATGGAATTACCTTTCTTCATTGGAACCTATCCTATGGAAATTTGATGTGCTGTGTATTACAGAGAACATCCTTGCATGTGCTTTTGTAGCATTTTCCCTCAGAGAATAAGACTTTCCTGTTCTTATATATGAATTATAGTAATACCCAGTGATTCCAGACTAGCTTGTATAAGATTGAGTGTGACTTGGAGGTTCTGCATTGCTTTTGCATTTGCACAAAGCTCTACACAAAGGGATGGGGCATGTGGAATTGGTGAAATGAATGCAAGAATCATTGTGCAGGGGAAAGCATGTGAGTTGATATTAATTCAGTATTTAATATAATCAGCATTTGACTTGTAATGCTGGTACTGAATCTGTCTAGGCATGGGCAGAAATGTTACTGGAAGCTGAATAACAATATTGTTTATTTATATGGAAATCACTTGAAATTAGAATAAAAATGCAAAAGCAACAAGGAGCACATAGAAAAATATAAACATATAAAAGATACATACATATGAAATAAATACAAATGAAAAAGAGAACCATTTACCCACCACAAAAGTGCAGAATTAATTATTAACTTCAAGTGCTTTTAAATGTGTGACAATTATTTAGCATCAGAAACGATGTACACTACGGGGGGTCATACAGTATTTTTCCAGATGTATATGAAACAGGGTATGAAATGGATATAGTTTCTGTACTGCATATTGCACATTATGTAACCCTTACAGAGAATGCTATTTAGTCCCTTCCCTTGCTCTTAATGTGTATACTAAAGCACTGATGAGTCCCCAAGCGTTAGATCCATCTGGGGAGGAGGAAGGAAGAAGCAAGGATGGCAAAGGCAATGTGCTGATTTCCAGGGTAATTCTCCTAATTGCTCAGACCAGTCAGCATAACCAACTTGGGCTTGATTATCCATTGGGAACAAGGAAATCACTTTCATCTTTTGGAGCTGCATGGTCATAGGTGGGCAGAGACTGTGTCTGCCTGCCTGTCAGTGATTAGTCCAAGATCTATGGGTAGGCTTGAAATATTATATTATAGCAAAAGCCAAATATGCAGATTTATAACACCAGTCCTCAGATTGGGCATGGCCCAAATTAGGAAAAGAATTCCGTAGGTTGTCCTTAAAACATATTTGAAAATATACTGAGTTGTTTTTAGACGCATACAGATACTCACCCATTTTCCTGTAAAGAACTGAGGAGCAGTTGGACGTTGAAGGAAGTTGCTGAGAAAAGTCTGTTAGACATTTCAGCTACCCCGCACAGAACTATAGGGTACAGTGTTCACATTTTTCCTGCAAGAAGACCAGGAATTACTATCAAACCAATCAGATGCAGATATGCACCTGTCTGACCTTTAGGATCAGAAATTGAGGAGGTTTGGACCTGTTTCATATTTCAATGGGAGTCCATCAGGGAATTTCTCAGCTGTAGGCTGGGCTGGGAAGGTAAAGAAACATCCCAGAAGGCAGCAGTGGCAAACCACTTCCAGATTGTTTTCAAAGATTCAGTTATTTTTTTCTGTGTATTGTCGAAGGCTTTCACGGCCGGCATACGATGGCTGG